ATCATGCGCAGACTTGATAAGCTGACAACCCGGCAGGCCATTATGCATTACACGCTGTATGGCAGGTGTGCAAAATTACGTGTTGCTCATTTAGGATTTTGACAGAAAAGCAAATTCAGCTAAATTGTTGTACAGCATGCACATCAAACCAACTTAAAAAAAGAGCAGAATTATGGTTAATTTAGAGTCTGGTATACAGCCTAACTGTTCTGGGTCATTTTTCAAGCCTTGGCTTTGCCTTTGTTTCCCCTCCCATACTCCTAACAATAGAAAAGAAAGAAGGGGTGTAATAATTGGTTTCATGCTTTATAATTTGATTTTACTGATATAGCAGAAAATAGACGTATTTTTTAGCCAGTCTCACGAATCAGGGACCAAAAGCATTGAAGTCAGAAAACGAATTTCAAACTGGGGACAGGGACGTGGTTTCAGAAATAGCCACAGACACATCTAGATATATTTCTGTGAAGATTTGCGTTTATAAAAGTTGAGAAGGACATACCCCTTGAGAAAAATTATGTGCTACTTACAAAAACTCCAAGGTTCATTCCAAGGAATAAACACATGGCTAGCACTTTCAAGTGAATACTGAGAGCAGCTGTAAATTGTGCAAAACGGACGTGCGTCACAGGTTCCTTTACAGGTGAGAGAATGGCCACCGTCCACGTTTCCTGTAACAGATGGTCTTTTCGACGACCGGAGGACGAGTGACGCAATGGAGAGGAAACACGCACGGGGGAAACTCGCTCGTCAGCCCCCTACTAGCGCTGGTGCTGTCTGGTGAACGACACTGTGAAAACTGTCTGGGAGTTTCGATTTTTGTTTTTACCCGCAAGCACAATCATTTCAAGATCGAAAAATAAAACAGGGTCCATCTTTGATTTTTTTATCAGATATTTCAGTAAAAGGAATTTTACATCCTCAACTTTTGATCATTGTAGGTCTAATGAATAAAAAAAAAAATTACGAGGAAATGGCCAAGAAAAATTAAAAAAAACTGCATGAAACTGAAATTGTTTTAGCGAGAAGATGCTTTCAAATCAAAAGGGCAACGTTGACGATTGCACTTTGTGATGTTGTCATTGCACTTTCTTTACACTTGTTTTTGAATTCTTTTCACTTGTTACACCTGCTGTCTTTGAGATGTCAAATTGTCTTTGTCGCTAGTTTAATTTCCTGTGGGAAATGTACTTTTGAATTATTAAACACGATGTCATTTTTAGCAATAGATACAAAATACATGTATCAATATTATTTCCGAAGTGCATTTCGGCAATGTTGTCAAAATGCACCTGTGATTCTATATCGTCAATTTAATGTATAGTGAAGCAAGTTATACAATTACTTCCAATTTGGTATGGAGACAAATTTACATGTAACTGGCTCGCATAAATATTTGAAAACTTGCTCACTTGTCAATTTAACAGTTACGGAGATAATTAGAAGCGGTCTTTATAGATACCCTGAGTTAATATTCCCCCAAAAAATTACCTGTAATATCGATTGCTGGACTTATAACTATGGAGACTCAAAACACTGACGTCTGTTTTTGGGAACTGAAATGAATTCCAGCCGCTGCAGGCAACACACGCCGATTGTTTAGGCTTTCGACCAACCTCCCCCTTGATTCATCGCTTTTTTTTTTTAGAGTCAATAATCGTGACTAGAAATATATTTGACTGGTTTGCAGTTGCTGCTCAGCTGATCCTAAATGCCTACTTGAATCTGATTAGAATCTATCCTTCCATTTTAGAGTGGTGCAGTAAATCTCTGTAGGCCTAATTAGTTATCAACTTCAAGTTGGAGCCATGAGTTCACATACGCTGACATCGATTCAGTCGCAATCTTGGCGATAATAAATTAGCAACTTGAACAACATCACAATCTGATCGACCTTTTTAGTTTTTCTTCTTTGTCAATCGTATCAATGTCAATAACTAACACCGAACTGTGTGATCCTTGAATCTACCACTCTTGAAGTACTCAACTCGATTATACTCCCCCGGCAATATTGGCAAATGCCGCGGTCTTGGGCTGGTGTCAGAGACGTAACGGCGGAAACTCGAAGAATAAAAACCATTAATTGTGAGTGTCGAGAATTGTCAAAGGCACCTGCTGTTAACATGTAATTAATTTTAATAATACATAATTATATTCTTAGTCAACACAGATGAAAATGCTGTTATGCCTAACAATCAAAAGGGTGTCCCAAAAAAAATTGTCCAAGCAGATATTTAATTTCTCAAAAACTACTTAACATGAGTGTTTCACCTTATTGGAGCATATTAATTATACTCTTGTGTATATCCAGTGAAAATGCCATGGAAATTTGTTCAGGCAAGCCAGAGATCTAACAGATTATAAATGGCTGTGGGTTTTTCACCCGTTCCAATGGGATGGGATTTACACAGTTGACTTAATTAAAGCCCATGACAACCTGATGCACTGATTTCACTAACTGTGTAAATCCAATTATTGGAATGGGTGAAAAACCCATAGCCTTTTACAATCCGTTAGATCTACGGTTTGCATGAACGGATTTCCATGGCATTTTCACTGATTATACTCCATCAAGATAGAATACTCATGATAAGTAGTTTTTCAGAAATTAAAGGATATCTGCTGGCACAACATTTTTGGGACGACCTGTATTGGGTTTCGTACGTTGAAGTGATCCTGCGTTTCCTTAGTCCAACCTTATTCATCCATGGTCCAACATATACGGCCCTATTACGGAAAACTTTGTGAAAAGATTTAGCCAATTTCTTGGATCTGTACTGTTTGAATTGTCAGCTGCTAAACTATTACACAACAGCCCTGAACATCGCAATATCCAGTTATGAGATTTAGATTTAATTCTTAACTACTGGTGTCATATTAAACTGTAGTTCTTGAAGATATATCTGAAAATATCACATTCAAATTCTTTTCTCTATATCGAGGAACTAGTTCAAAATGTTTGGGGTTCAATAAGCATATTTTAAAACTTGTTTTTGACAAAATGCATAAGCCTACAGGTTTCCATATACATTTCAATGTATTTACCTTCCACAGATAACAATAACAAATTGTATGCAATCTACCCCGTCTACTGAAAAAAATCTACGAGGAATTTAAACTTACCTAAATTGCGTCCGAATTGAATGTTTCTCCTCCTTTTACAGTGTTGACGGCAACAGTTCCATTATCATCTAACTGTCTCCAAACTTGCAGATCGGGGAAACATGTTTGAGAAGCGTATCGATTTATTTTCTCGATGTTTTGCCTACGGTGCCGCGGCTTTGTTTGCAAAAGGCTTAAATTTTATTGGCATTTAACCGATCCTCAATAATCAAACGTCCGTACACATCACGGCCTTTGCTTGTGTGTGCGTAACCGTGCCTGGCATACGGTTAGATTTACCGTGTATCAAGCCCTGGCGTGGAGTCACATAATATCCTATGTGTCATTGGTTTTGATGACTGTGTCCACAGCCTGGCAACCTAAAACAAATACCAGCCGGTCAATGGTTAGGCTAGAGAGCTTAAAGACAATGTCCGATGTGGCTAACTCAATTTGTGCATCTGCAGCATATTGAGTGTGAAAAGTCATACGTCCACGATGGTGATTTGAGTTTGTTATAACTGCTTTATGTTAAGATCAACAGACAAGCTTGATGTTTTATTACATACTTGTTTTGTATAAGAGTTTGAAGTGAGGTATATTTAATTATCTCAAAACTCTCGAATATTATTATGGCCTTGTGGTTATTGGAAGTGTGGCTCGTACGGTCAGAGGGTCAGGGGCTTGAATCCAGCTGCTGGTCATAATGTTGTGTCCTTGGGCAAGCCACTTTACTCCACTTGCCTCTCTCCACGCATGAGTATAAATTGGTACCGACATTAGCTGAGGAGCGACCTGCGATGGACTGGCAATCAATCAGGGGAAACTAGAAATGTTCTCGGCTGCTTCAAGCTTATAGGTAACCGGCGATAAACGCCGGTTTATGAGCCACATTTTGTCCGTGACATGCAGAAATTCGTTAATCTACAACCCTCAAAGGTACAGTAACCATCAGGCTCAAGTTAGAGTTAAAAAAAATGGACTACAGGTTGCCACTTTAAGGTATTTCATGGACTGAATTGGTTTTCAGCATTTTATCTATCTTGTCTTGATTGCGTGTAATACCCGTTGCTAATTGATAAGCGGTGATAAAAACGCGACAGATATGAAGATGTTGAGCGAATTGCTCAATCGTTATGATAGGTCAGATTGTTGACGCGCACGGACGGTTAGTCTGGACAGATGATGCGGACGCCCTCTACCGTTCGGTACAAGCTACTTCATCAGGAGAGACACAGTCTATAGTATGCAGATAACACAAAAGTTCATTCTAAGAGCACAAATAGTCACTGCTTGAGGTTTAAGAAAATGTGCACTATTTAATAAACTTTCAAGTGATCATGCGAGAGAATAGTTGGATCTAATTCTTGATTTGTGACAGTTTAATTGACATTCCGGTTTTTAAGCTGATGTAAAAGGTCACTCCATAAATGTAGGGTCCAAAGTGTGACAAAGATCCTGTTCCTGACACCTCGGGACTTTGTAATTTCCAATTCAAGTATCATTAAGAATGACTTAACACGATTTTTGTTATTTGTTAGGTAGGTAGTTTGCTATCTTGATCACTCTTTGGATAACGACTGCATTTAGGAGTGCGTCGGGATTGTACAATCATATATATCAGATGCAGCAGGGAAACAAAGTGGACCCCAAATTTAAAGAATGACACATAGGCCTATTCATATCATGAAAAGCAGGCAAAAGCTTCCGTCTTGTGTTTCTGAGTATAAGAGTTGCCAGATATGTTCCTGTGAGTATGTAAACACCAGCAATCGTAGACTAGGGACAAAAGGGTTAGGGCACAAACAAAGGGTCAACGATTGACCGATAGTCCACTACTTAAATTCGTGCACAAACCAATGAGAGCTGTTGCTAAAAAGTTATTTCATAAAGCACATTTGATATTTAAACAAAATATATTTTTTTTAGTAAATTTCATTCTAAAGCTTCGGCCAAAAAATAGTTCTGCTTCCGGTTACCTATCCTATTTTGACGGCCCCTACCCTACCCTAATTGTTTATATGGGAAAATGCGGGGGAAAAAAACATCAATTACTACCTTTTACCCTTGACTACACGCAGACGCCTCCATATGATCGTACACACAAAAAAATCCCTACCTCCCTACCCTATTTTCAAATGTCATGTAATCGGAAGCAGACCTATTTTTGGGGCCTTATTCAACAAGTTTTGAATATAACATATTATTGGAACTATGTTTAAAAAAAAACGGTTCAAATTTAAATAGGAAAATTGCACAGATATAATTATATCTGGACGGAAAGGTGTGATATTTTTCCACTAAATATAAAAGGTACATAAATTGCACAAACGTACAAAATTTCCTACTGAAAAAAAAATCAATTAGTACAGTATTATGAAGTTAACGCATTAAAATATTATTACAAGTTTCTTTTTAGTATCAGCGATGATTTAACATCCTTGTCGAATACGCATAATCCGTGCCACCTCTTTTTGATTTTTTTTTACGAAGAGTCCGGTTCGACTTCTAAATTATTGTCTAAATCTTGGACAGTCGTTTTGGCATCTGTATCCTCACTGACTGTATTTGTTTCAGTCTCGCTCGGAGCCACTGATTGTTCGTCGTCTTTATGTGAGGATTTCACGCTGAAAAGGGATATCTCCGAATCAGGTGTATCCGACCTAGCCTCGAGTTGGCGAATCCTCTTATGTCTCGCCCCACTGGCCTGAAAAGCAATCTCGTCAAAAGAGGGCGCCTCGGGCAGCTCGTACTTGGCACCCGCGCCTGCGTAGAAGCGCGGGTGGCTCTTCTGTCGCTCAATCTCAGCACGAGTCAGCATGGGCGGGCCGAAGTAGTTGGCCGGGTTCTCCCGTTCCCACTCCTTCTTGGGAACCAACTCCACGTCGGTGATGGCAGGTAGGTTGCTGGAATCCCCGACTCCCTGGTTGAAATGCCTGGGTCGACCGCTCCTCTCCCCTCGCTTCTTGGCGAAGATCTGGGCGGTCAGGTCGGTGAAGTTGGTGAAGAAACCCAGCCCGTCGGGCACTGTGAAAGCGCTGACGCTAGTCTTTTTTCGCCGTGCTGGACGGTCAACCTCGCTATCCTGCTCCTGCCTCTTCTCATCAGAGCTGGTTCTCTGTCGGCTGAATGACTGTCTTGATATGTCTCCTTGAGCGAGTCTCTCTAACACCTGTCTGGAGTTCAACTCAGGCCTGACCCTGTTGACTATCGTCATCGTGGAGAAGTTTGCAGCCGAGATGTGGATGCTCGGGAAGTTGGCCTCATTCCGGAGGGCAGAGTTGCTACGTCTGTTCAGCCTGTCGCACTCGTGGCAGGCCTTGGGCCCGAGAACATCACAGCATTCCCGGGACATGTTGTTTACTCGATCGTAGAGGTCATCATTCAGGAAGCTCTCAGTTCTCACACACGGCCGTTCGCGGAACTTCATGCACAGGTAGGCGTGTTCCCGCTCTCGGCGTTTCCGCCTGCCGGTCGGTGTACCACTAAGGCTTGCATACCGAGGGGAGCCGTGCTGCCGGACTCCCATGGCTGAGGAGATGTTGAGTCGCCGCTCCGTGTGGAACTTTTGCTGCTCTTTCTCGATGGCAACCGTGGCAACATCATCTGCTCTCATGTTGAGGTTTTCCAAGTCAGACAGTTTGAGGGACAAGTCGATATTTGGTGGGGCTGTCGAACTACGTGTTGCATCGACATCAGTAGAATCCAAGTTAGCTGGGTCGGTATTTGTGATTGGTACTGACTCGCATCTGGGCTGAGCTTTTGAATTGGGCCGGGATGCCTGTTCCGTTGACACAGAAGGGAAGTAGTCTTGCATAGTATCGGCATTCTGTCGGCTGTTAGGTCTCGTGCGGACCTCATGATCACCGTGTGGAATGGTCTTCTCTATGGAGAAGTAGACGTCCCGAGGCGGGCTTCGGAAGGGCGCCACCTTGGTGGAGGTCACTCGCTTGATTTGGGTCACGCTTCTCAGACCACGCGGGGTGTGGTCAGTGCGCCTGCGTGTTCGTGGACTCACGTTCCCGGTGACCAACATGGCGAAGAACAGTTATTGTCAAAAAGTGACGTCAGTCGCTACCGTGAGGAACTCTTGTGAGTTTTGGCCCCAAGTCTGGCATCTGCGGTGTGAAAAGAAGAAACATATGTAAGATTCTAGAAAGGGATTTTATGAAAAAAGATATTGTCAACAATTAAAATGTATTTTTATTGAATTGTGTCTGTGTAAAAGACCAAAATACATTGCACACCCGAGTATCAACTATATGAAAAAAAGTCATGAAATGGAATAAAAAAGATGGCTTTAACTAGTAAAACAATCAGGATGAAGAAATGTATTGCATATTGCTACCTTTTGGAGAATGGCGTAGGCTCATATGTATTCGATTATGTAAGCAACAGGGATCAGTAGACTTTTGCATCAAATCACGTAGAGAAAATTCATTTGGGTTACTTGGTTCTAATAAAAGTATTTCCTAAACCGGTAGACGTGATCGAGTCAACTTCATAAGTCTTGTCGTTCTGATATAACATCATGTTCTAAATGTATCAATCCCGTTAATGTATTGGCCCTTTAAGTAACCTTTTTTCACGATATGTTTAGCCTCAAAATCTATAAAGTGAAACGATGAAACCTATCGATGATAGTGATCGAATAAGTAAGGTCCCTCTTCGGCACCTGTCATCAACATGTAAATTTACGATGCAGCAAATTTAACGTGATTTCATGACAAAGCACAACATCTACCGACTGTTTAAGTTTGAACATGTGAAAACATTCAAACAACATGCAGTCGTTATTTTGGCAACATAATAATGTTAATGGTGCCCCATAAACCCAGCTAGCTTGTCTGTGGAAAAAAAAATGTTTTACGAAATGCCCTTAATGACTTCGGAATTATGTCTTTCTATGAGGCACTCGGGCTACTGTGGGAAACGCGTACAACGACATGGCCATTAGCCTAATGATTAGTACCCATTCATGTACCCGCTGTTAACATTACAATGCTCCATACATACCGTGTAAATGCTTTATCATCCCGGATACAAAGTACCCTCACACAGTATCCGCCGGTAGGCCTACTCCAAAATGTTTCTCTTTTTGATCACTTCATGTTTTGGACCAACATTAACTTCACCAAATCCATTCATCGATGTCCCGTTCTACGACTCGCGGGCTAACGAGATTCCCTTGCATAATATACAGTAGTCAAAATTCATACAATATATTCAGGATTTGGAAACTATGCGTGCGGTACAGCACTCCATTGTCGGTAAACAACAAAACCTCTCCAACCGAAGGTGAACCTTTTGACACGGCGGGGTAGTGCTTGGTAACGGGGCCCGCGGGCCATGTAGCCCCATTGAGCTCCGTGTGTACACTAGTTGACGGTTGTCTGTGTACGGGTTCATCACGCGAACAATACCGGGACGGGATCGATGTGCGGGGCATTGGGTTATGGGTTAATGCATGGGGGAAGAAGATTCGCCCTGAGGCAAACCTTTACAAAAGTTACGCTCAGGAAAAGGCAGTCATTTCACTATACAGGGTGGGGAAACCCACTTTTGACAGCAATTTTCACCTACTTGTTGAGCATATTTCAAAAATTCAATTTAATGGTATTAACCTATTGATCTTTAAATATTAGTGACGAAAAGATCATTGCAAATGCATATTTTTCTCTGAGATATGGTAGTTTACAAAATGTTATGAGCCAAACCTGTTTGTTCACGGATGGCTTTGTTCCATCCGCTTGACTGAGCTCCGGAGCTTGATCTGAAGACAGAAACACTCCAAAAGACTTAGGACACCAGTGATTTTGGTGACTTGTACTCAAATAAGCATAGTAACACTATTCTTGCGAATGTTTTAAACTTTTTTTTCACCATGTATAGTTACAGAGCTATACTTCACTACATTATAAAAAATAACCAGTTCAAATAAGATAAGTAAGTAGGTTAAAAAAAATTCAAAAGTGGGTTTCCTTCTTTTTGAACCACTCAGTAGAATGATATTTTTGGATGTCAAACCTTTATTTGTATAGTTTGTATATACTTATAAGTATTGGACCTGAAGGAACTAGTTTTGAAACTGTTTTTTTTTCGAAGATATGGACAACATTCAATTTTGAATAACAGCAGCGATCAAATACTCTTCTTTTTTTCGACAATCGCACATGTATTTAAAACAAACTCAATTTTTTGTTCTCTAAATAAATGTTCCACTTGTATGTTTTATTCCAACCAAAAAAAACTTTTTTTCCTTTTTTGGGCGTCTGCTATACCCTCCGAATTGTGTTATTTTGGGCACAGACAGAACCGCCCTGCGAGCAGACTGGCTCCCGGTCCGTACATTATCGATACTAATTGTGGGGCCGGAATCAGCCTACCCCGCGAGAACGGAATTATTGTCTGGCTGCAAGAATTTCGAAACTGGTAGAGTAATGATTCAATAACTAAACCTGGGCGATTGTTTTTTTTCGGCCGTGGCTCAGTCAAGTAAATAACTTTTGTTTTGCTAGAGAAATATCACTTTGTTTATAATTAAACTCGAAAATAGGGGAACGCAGCTTTAATTCACGGAAACTGAGTTTTTTTCTTGTCGTTTCCCAAGTGTATGGACAACTGAAACACATTTTCATGATCGTCCAGGAAACGCAGGAATATGAGGACAAAACATGAAGGCAAAATTGAGGAGAAAAAAACCCGACTCAGTTGGAGTATACCGCTATATTTTATAAATTACTTAGGTTATAACCGCATGCAAACGGAAGAAGTAATGGTTCTAATTTTCAGTCAAAGAAACGCCGTATCTAAAGTTAGCAGCAATTTCTATTTCATAGTATGCATACAGGAAAAGAAATACGGGAAAAGAAATGAGCCAATCAAGTACTTGAACCCGTAAACCTTGGAATAACAGTCAACTCACTTATCCAAGCTTTGTGATTAATATAGCAAGCAGTCATAGTATCGGTCTGCCAAGATGTCATTCACTACTATGAATAAATTTCAACCCTACAGTTGCTTTATCCATATTATCTCTATTATCGAACTTCTTCCAGGTAATTGTACCACGGCTTCCTCTTAAAAGTGCACAGACACTGAAGACCGATAAAGAGACAAAATGCTAGGGAAGAAATGTTCAGTTTCACACGAAGTACAGAAAATCAAACCTTATGGAAAACGTAGTGAATTGGACGCAGTGAACATTCGGTCCTGGGCATGATTCGAACCCGGGTCACAGAGATGGAAGGCGAGGAAATTACCAACCCGATTACCGAATAAGGAACAGTCTTTTACCCAAGACAGCTGTAACACAGAAATAGGCCTACGCCTTGCATAATCTCAGAAAGACAATTTAGACATTTAAGTTTTCCGTCATTGTATGATAATTTTTGTTAACAACGGGAATGTGCAAACATGGATGGCTGTTTTGAGCTTCCGTAGCATTTACTACAGAACACCACACATTTTCGTAAGAATTTCCAGATAAAACTGCAAATGAAAAGTATCAGTGGCTCTGTGACAGGCATCGATCCATCGTTTTTGTTTTATCTTTCAGTACTCCGAGTGTTTTCGTAAACATATCCTGAATGGCCGACAATCACTGCAGACGACCCCTAGCCATTTGTATTGTTCCAAGAACAAAAGAAATGTTGATACTAAGTGGTAACCACGGGAGACGGTTTGCAGAAAGCATTTGGCGCGCTAGAAGCTGGTATGGGGGTAAAGTTTGCTTATAACAAATTTGACTTCAAAACGACTGTTTAATGCACGGTACAAAGCAATCAACAGAGACGTGTTGTTACATTGCAGCCAAACATCCCCTATAAGAGAACCTGTGATCAAATTTCGTTATCACATAAAAATTGACATGTCACAGTTCAGAAACAATTGCAGTATTTTGTGTTATCATTTCGGCCATCCCTTCAACGGCATTCATGAAACAGCCGTTGAATTGTTGGTACCGACGACCTCTATATTTGCCGACTTTTGACGTCTGATTTGCATAGAGTTTGCGTTGAGAGGGATAACTGTAATGAATATTATAATACAGATTTGTTTGTCTCGTTGTGTAGTAGCACATGTTGGGCATCTGATTGCAGTATCATCTTAATCATCAGTCGCTTTAAATAGCCGTATCAGCCTTCAAATGCGATTAACTTCTTCATTTGTGCGCCGTCATTTTGGCTCGATCATCGGCTTTCACAAATCCTCCAACACGGTGCACAATGAAAACCTGTACACAGCCATGCATGGGCTGAACTCATTACTGGAGCAAGATAGAGCTCGACCAAGACTGATGCTTCAATAATAGACCCAAGATATAACTGCTATTCCATCCAAGTAAAAGACCGTACAAGAAGATACAAGACCCCCGTGGCCGCAGGCTGACTGATTCTGCCAAGTGAAGACATCGAGACGGTGAGCGAGTTTCGTCCAGCAACGTTCGCAAAAAGTGGGACAACTGCATCTTCATTCACAGGTGGTTGATTCGGCATAAGTTCGTCCGACTAACTTTCTTCTTCATAAAACCACGGCTACATTACTTTCAAAAGGTGGGCATTCGGTTGAATAAACTATTTCTTGTTGTAAATTAAGTAAAAGTTTAAATTTCCTTCCGCATCCTGTAAAACCAGTTTGATAGTTGCTATGAATGTCCGAATGGAAGAACCACAATAAAAGCTAGGTTTATAAATCCAAACATTTACGCCTTTTGTAATAACACTAACATTAGAAAACCATTTTTCCCCTCTCACTAAAAGAAACAAAACACAATTTGGAAAAAATTAAGACCGATTTTGTTTTTGCGCATGGTGGGTCATTTTTGGAAGAACATGCGTATACAAAACGGCGGATGTTATATAGGGCCACATGAGAGACACGATAACAAATTAATTTTCAAAAGTGTCACGGCCTGCTGGAACAAAAATGCTTAATCCCAGAAGTTTTAACGCCTAAAACATTCATGTCGTTGTGTTTTCTTTGTTGCCCGAGAACGTTCTTTGACATGAAAACGATATGAACTTGTTTTGATTCAAAGCATCATCTTTTTAAATCGGGTTTAATGTGCCTGTCTCACCCAATGCAGACTACTTCTGGTGTCAAATATTATCCAGGAAAAACAGGTAAATTCCCTTCCTCATGTAAACAAATTAATTTCCGTTATTAAACTGTTGACACGTGATTCTCGTTACTTAGTAACAAAAATACAACCTTAAATCTGAAGCATAAAAAAGAACTAGGGCCTAAAAAAAGTTTGGAAACAGCTAACTTAATCTCCATTAGTGAGATATCTAAAGTACAGCTGTGTTACGAATAAATTCTTAATGGCAGAGTACACTAAATGCACCGCATAATGACATATGGCACAGCGAGAATACATTACTTCTCACCATTAGGGACGAATATAAATATGATAATGAGGGTTAAGGAACGGTCCATAGATCATAGTACAAGGGTGAGCATGCATTATGAGCGTCGTTTGCATTTGGTACAAATTGAGTTTGTACACATAGATTCTGATTCCCATCAAAAACAGTGAACTATTGTTTGCTGTCATAAAGGTACTGCTAATTGATTTAACTCTGCAGTTGTATACTGAAAATTTCAACACGAAATAATCTTAATCTGGATCAAGTTATTACGCTCCTCTCGAAAAAAAAATGATAACCAAAAATATAAGCTTCTGTCCTGTCAGCTGCAACATTAGCAGTTTGGCCAGAAGTTTCACCTGTTCATCATAAAAAACAGATTTGGAAATCTTGTATTTAAGTACTGTTACCTGGTGAAATACGCATGTTTTCTATCTCTACAAAACATGTTCTTTACGAAAGACTCAACCAGATTTTCTTTCTTATGTGGGCACCCAGACCAAAAATAAATGGTTTTGTTTCATCGTGCATCCCAATATTAACCAAGGAGGCCAGTGGATATAAACAAATAGCGCACATTACTAACGTCCTAAGGTATCTAAAGCATCTTTACACAGAATATTCTTTAAGTGTAGTGTAAAAAGCAATTAGAGTACCCCTTCATTACAATCAATAAGATTGAATGCTAGGAATCCTGGCAGGCTCATTTATTGTGTTGACTTTTCCATCGGAAACATTTTGAGTATCACTTGGCATGTAAGACGTGCAGGAAATTGAGAGTATCGTTTAGCTGGGTACGAGAAGAGTGCAAAGATTTGCTCTCAGCAGTATTGTTCTACCACCGAAAATGCTTTCAGTGACAACTCCCATTAGTTTCAACTGCCCTCTGGCTAGGAGGAACGTTCAGGGCAGACACCACGTCAAAGCTTAAATACAAATACTCAATCACGTTGATGTACAACACTGTGTTCTTCACTAACAATGATGCCGACTATTTTGTCTTTTCGTGACTACCTTAAAGGTTGCTTGAAACTTTAGGCGTACATATCAGGCCGATTTCTTCAGAAAGTAACGTTCACCGAGGCGAGTCAAAAACATTTGAGCTCTTTTTCACGAATCACAGAGCGCACTTTCGCCACTACTGATGCGAAACAATTACTGCACAGACCGTGGTCATCTTTCGTATCAAGTGTTTTCATTTCACAAGAAGTCTGATGTAAGACATCAGAGTCATCTAAGAGTTTAAAGCTGAAGCTAAAGACTTTACCCGGATAACAGTACAGAATTGTTTGCGGACATGTGAAGAGACCAAATCTAATAAGAGAAGTGGTTTGGAGGTGAACCAGAGACTCTGTTATTAGAATACTTATTACTTGACTAGTTTAAACGAGTGATTCATGCCAGTTCATTTTATGTTATATTCTTGAACAGGAAGTGGGTGAAAATATCATACAGCTATGAAAAGTGTAGAACACACCGCGATGGAACTATGCTGAGACACAAACCTCTCCCACCGATCCACCCTGCGATGTCATCCTACAAAGCACCGGTCAAGTCATCCGTCTCATTCGCAGATTTAGACACTACATCGCTCCAGCTTGACAGCAGGCACAACCCAGGCCAAGCCCAAGCAAGCAGCGGGACAGCGAGTACCCAGCGCGGGTTTGACGTGTCGAGAGCTCCGATGAACCGGCCGGTGTTTCACGCTCGCCGGAGTACCGTGGTGGGGTCTACCAACAAACCGGAGGATGGCGTGGCAGCGCTATCGGCTGCGTTGTCTGTCCGCTATCCACTGCTTCAGGACACGTCCACTAACGACTTCAAACGATCCAGATCCATGTATACGACAAACGCAACGCTTACAGAGCGTAAGAAACCATGTGACCTCAAGACAGACAGGTTTGATAATCACAAACGACACTCCAACCGAAGGAAAAAGGACCAAGTTTTACTGACTAGAGGAAGTCACCACTCCTTTCCTCCAGGGAAAGTCATCAAGAGAACGATGATAACAGCATCATACCTCAGATGTTCCCCAAGGTACGGCGAGTGGACCGAGGCGGACCCTGCCCCACTCAGCTCTACAATCAGACGAAACTCTCGTACTCGGAGAAGAGCAACGGCTCAATTCAGCTGGACCACTACGTCAGGAGGAACTCTCGCCCTCGGATGGAGCCGCTACGGGTTCCCTCGACATCCACAGCTACCTCTAGCGAAGAAACCTTGAACTCTGTCATCTCTTCAAGTAAGATGACGCTGGAGGGTCGTGACTGGCCAGGCAGGGGATTCTCGCCTTTCTTTAAACCCTACAGTTATCTTGACGAGGACTTGTCTGTGCCACCAAACTCGGAGATCGGACCTTCCAGAGCGCAGATGTCGACTACTCCGTACGAACATTGACCACCTTGACAAAATACAACATTGCTTATCCATAAGAAAGCAGTCAACTCTTTCAATATTGGTGGACAAGGCGAAACAGAAAACGAGTACAAATTGTATGACAACATTGAGAATAAAAGATGACTTCCTTTGACTTATGAGTGTCTCGAGTTATCTTTATTTTGAACAAATTAGAATGAATTTCATATAGCCAATACGCCCGAGGATCCAAAACCTCATGATAAAAGAAACACATGGACAATGTACATGTATATGTTTTCACCTTTTTTCAAGAGCTCATGAACTTATCTTAGAACACTGTTACAAGAGCACAACATCTAGTTTGACCTGATTTTCGCGCTGACTCTGGGTTAAATGATCCGTAACAAATAAAACATCAATTATGACATTTGTAAAAGTATGATCTGAACTTTAAATTTTATTGTCCAACACCGCTCTTGAGTTAGAATAAATGTCCTGTGAACGGATCAAAAGAAAGTTCTGCAATTCCCATTCTAAGCCAATTGAATTCTTCAGTTGACAAACAATTTTTTTTTTAACTTTTGCTATAAGTCTTCCTGGATCCTCCATAATCCATCGTTTTGCAGGCACATTCTTCACACCTTAACTTTAAAGGGAACCAGCCTTGAGCCACATGCAGTTGTTGAGCTCTACTTTCCTCAATCCTACAAAACCCTTCACCCCAAAATGAGTTTGAAGGATCTCGGAGGGTTAGGGCTACTGATCCTCTTTTGTAGTCTCGGCAGCATTCATTTCGACATCTTCCACTATCTTCTGGGTGGTGACCTTCTTGCGTTTCGGAGGATGGTAAGATCCCAGGCCTGCTGCTGCATCAGCTTCTTTCTGTGTGTAGGGTTCCAGCTCAAGAGCTTTTAACCTGTTGGAAATCAACACAAAGGTTGAAACGAATTTAATTTTTTTCTTTAAAAAGTGCTTTCAATTTGTTTTGTTGCTGTGTATTTGTGTGTGGGTTGGGGAGTTGTTACTTTTTAGAGTTGTTACTTTTATATAATTTCATTTTTGAGGTTATTTACATAATTTTTATGGTAATAAAACGGAATGAGAAAAACACAGCTATAGGTTAGATAAGGTCAAAAAAGTTCTGCTTCTGATTACATGGCATTTGAAAATAGGGTAGGTAGGTAGGGAATTTTTGGGGTTTTTTTTTTGGGGGGGGGGGGCAATTGTTTTGTGTACGATCGTTTGGAGTTGTCTGCGTGTACTAAAGGGTAAAGGGAAATAATTGATGGTTCTCATGTTTTTTTCCTCATTTCCCCCCTCAAAAAATTAGGGTAGGGGCTGTTAAAAAAGGGAAGGTAGGGTAACCGGAGCAGAACTATTCTTTTTTGGGGCCTAATCGTGCGTGCGTGGTGTGTATTATTCACATTCTCCCAAATT